GGACACACACAACTCTTAAGTGAAATGTATTAAAAATACCATAAAATCACGGTATATCAACACCCTCAACTTAAACTTGTTGTTTGTCCTCAAGCGACACACTAAGACTCTAAACGACACTTGTGTAGAAGCAGACATTCAAACTCAAGCAATCACATGGCTAGTTCACTCCATTCCATTCTCTCAGTGCAGATCTTTTTCTTATACTCAACAAGTTAACTCATGCGGATCAAAAGATGACAAAGATCGACCAATAGACACCCCAACATACACTTTTCACAATCACCAAGGTACCAACTTTACGACAATGTCACTAGTGCCCTCACTTCAAACGAAATCCTTTTCACACAGAAAATATGAATTTTAGAGTTTTAGGATTCATTCAACACTCACGCTCAGAAGTGAGTTCAAGTATAGTTAGTGGTCAATACCATATGTTTTCCCTTAGTTTCACTGCTTAAACTCTTGATGCTTATCGTGACCAATGACACTATCCTACGGTATGAGTGTCTACGATCGTCAATAATATAGTAACCCAACCAAGAGTTGGGGTCGTGTCCCAATGGAGCGGTTTTGAGAATTGATAGAAAAATAGAATTTACGTTCTAACTCGTCGTACCTAAAGACATCTGCGATAAAAGACATTGTAAATTAAAGGGGGCGACACAAAAGTGTCAAATATCAAAGGGGTTTTTGTAACAAGTACTAAAACAACAAAATAAACTAGAAAATCAAGTATGGGGAAAGGTTCTTGGGATGTGACCGCAATATAAGTTGAGATAAATTGTTGGGTACATGCTTTCGATAGGAAATTTGAAAAATAATAGTGACTAGGCTAAGCTTTAAATGGAAATAAGTTCCTTCTCGGTTAACTCACCCCCTTTCAAATGAGTTCCTTCCGGACACCCATTTGCCGCATAAAGACCAACCTACGCCTTACCCCACTCACTCTCTCGAGCTGAGTGTTAGGATATGGGACTAGGGCTCATCCTCTCGGGCTGAACCTCATGTCGATCCACTCCTTAGGCCATCAGTCTAGTGGTTTTGGTTTCGCGACCTCCCTCTCGGGCAAGCCGAAAACACATGGGTGACTTTGTATTTGCAACTACAAATGTGGTATTCCTCGTGAGATGTGGTATTCTCAAAGCATTCCGTTCTTTTCCTTTATCACTTCTTTTTCTAGTGCTTTTAAGTCATCCTTTTATTCACTCCCCATGAGTTGCTTGGAACCCCAATATCCTTTGCACTTTATTCTATAATTTTTTATTTTTTGTTGGAGGGCTTCATTGTTCTGCAACATGGGTAAATGGGGACTTCTTATAGCTCTTCTTGACTTCTCCTTTTCCTTTTCACCATATCCCCAACTTAGGCTTTTTGTCCTAAGTTGGCTATTCACTAAACCACAAATCAAGAGGATTATATGTAGTGGATCAAGTAAGGTCTAGGGTTTATCAAGGTTCTTCCAAAGAAAGGTAAGGCTCAAAGGTGTTCAAAAGAGTTTCACACGCTCACAGGTAGGTCACAAAAAGAGGTATATGTCAAATTGGCTCACACTCTTTAAAATTGCCTAAGATCATCTCAAGAGTACACCTTTCTAAATCAATCAGACTAACAGGGTAAATTCTAGGTTTATTCATGCAAGGTTCAAAGTAAGCTAAACACACAAGGTATCGATACTTCAGTCAAGCAAGACTACACACGTTTGCTAGTGTGCAACAATCATCATAGGAGAATCAATTTGATAAATGACTAGTCACAACGAGATGCAAAGAGTGCACATATTGTCTATGTAACTTCATTTGGCCTCGTCGTAGGCGGGCATTCATGTTTGTTCAATTGAGAGTACTATTCAAGTCATCGGTATTAATCGAAACCGAGACTTAATTTTTTGCAAAAGAACAACCACTTTCAACACAAGAGGTGGCAATTTTTTTTGAAAGGATCAAAATTATTTCGCAAGTAGAACAACAGGAGCCATGAGCTCAAAAAACCACAGAAAAGCAGTATTTAAAACACAACTTAAAGCAGACAACCCTAATATATACATAACAAAACATGAATGTCAACACAAATGGTGTGGGCCTCACCCCACCACAAATAAAGAGCGTTTGTCCTCAAATGGAAGTAATAAGTGTTAAATAGGAATCGATAAAGTAAACCAGTTGACCCAGAGATATTTTGATCAACTAGTTGCAAATGAGGCTAGATCTCTCAAAAACAACTCGGGGTGTTGAAAGACCAACCTTGTGTGAAGATGCTCGACTGCCATGCAATCCACAACTGAGTACAATTTAGCAATGCGAATACTCTAATAATACATGAAATATAAAACTAGCATGCAAGTGTGAGTTAGGGCATATGAAAAAGTGAGGTAAGCAGTTAATCGAACACTTTGAAACCTTTGCTTGAAGGACTTTCCAGTTATCACCTATTTAGTGAAATTAATTATATTGGCTTGTTCAGTCGGCGGCACGCCAAATATTTAGCTTCCTCGCGAAAGATTATAGGACCTCTGATTCCAGGTGAGTCCGAACGACGGTTTTCATTGTGCTCGCCTACAGGGTCGGCGATTCGCCGCTAATTTTTTTACGTGCGCCGAGTTTTACAGATTCCAAACCCAGACTGGAAGAGTTCAAACGACGGTTAATAGTGCGATCGCTGAATCAGTCCGCGGTTCACCAAAGATGTCCTGAGCTTGCCGATTCTTTCTGTGCGTCGCTGAATGTACTTGTGGTGCGCCTATTTGCACTGTTCGTTCACTATCCACGCTTCTATCTGCACAATTGACACATTGTTATGTTATCAAACAAATGTAATTGGTAAGAATATTGGGTTGTCTCCCAATAAGCACCTTATTTAACGTTGTGGTTCAACATAGGAATACTATCAAGCATCCTCCAGATACAATTCTTTAACTAAAACGATTTCCTGGCAGTCCCCAAGGTATAACTTCAAACGATGTCCATTAACTTTAAATGGGGGTCCCTCTTTACCTTCAACTTCTATGGCACCATTGGTGAAACTCGTGTCACTCTGAAAGGCCCAGACCATTTGGATTTTAGCTTCCCTTGGAATAGCCTTAGTCGTGAGTTGTACAATAACACCCAATCTCCCACATTGAATTCCCTCTAGACTATCCGTGTGTCGTGCTATTTTTTCATTTTCTCTTTGTAAATGGCTGAGCTGTCGTAAGATCTGAGCCTGAACTCATCTATTTCATTCAACTGGTCCAACCTCTCCCTTGAAGCCTTTGTCCAATCTAAATTCAGAGCTTTCAATTCCCATAAGGCTTTGTGTTCTAACTCAACAGGTAAATGGCATGATTTACCAAAAACTAGCTGATATGGGGACATTCCTATAGGTGTCTTATAAGCAGTCCAATATGCCCACATGGCATCGTCAAGCTTTCTAGACCAGTCGGTTCTGTTACCGTTTACCGTCTTGGATAGAATGCTTTTGATGTCACGATTTGACACCTCAACTTGTCAGCTCGTTTGGGGTGATTTGGAGTGGCTACCTTGTGTTTTACTCCGTATTTGCTCAATGCACTGGAAAACCACTTATTGCAAAAATGCGATCCTCTATCACTAATAATTGCTCTTGGAGTGCCAAACCGTGCAAAGATGTAGTGTTTCAAAAATTGGACAACGCTTTTTCCTTCATTATTTGGGAGTGCGATAGCCTCCACTCATTTGGACACATAATCCACAGCTACTAAGATATACTTGTTTCTAAACAGGCTGACAAATGGGCCCATGAAATCGATTCCCTACACATCGAATAGTTCGATTTCCAAAATAGTTGTAAGGGGTAACTTGTGTCTTCTTGACACTCCGCCTTGCTGCTGACATTGAGGACATCTCTTTGCAAAATCATGGGCATCTTTGTAAAGAGAAGGCCAATAATAACCACTTTGGAGAATCTTAGCTCCGGTACGGTTTCCACTATGATGACCCCCGACTGGTGATGTGTGGCAGGCATGGAGGATCTCTGTTGATTCTTCTTCCGGAACACACCTTCTTATGACATGATCAGCACATTCCCGAAATAAGTATGACTCGTCCTAGAAGTATCTTTTAACATCAAATAGGAACCTCTTTCATTGGTAAGAGTTTAACTCATCGGGAATCAACCCACATACGATGTAGTTTGCAAAGTCAGCATACCATGGCACGTGTGTGAGTGACAGTGCGAATATCTGCTCGTCTGGGAATGAGTCATTTATTTCCTTTTCCTGCTCAATACCTGCTTTACTCTCTAACCGCGATAGGTGATCTGCAACTTGATTCTCGCAACCTTTTCGATCTTTTACCTCAAAATTGAATTCTTGCAAGAGTAGCACCCATCTTATCAGTCTTGGCTTCACATCCTTTTTTGACATGAGGTATCAGAGTGCTGCATGGTCTGTATGAACAACTACTTTAGTGCCTAGCAAGTATGCCCGGAACTTTTCAAAGCATAGACCACTGCTAGCAACTCTTGTTCAGTGACTGTGTAATTTCGCTGGGCACTATTTAGAGTCTTGTTTGCGTAATAAATTGGGTGAAACAAGTTGGTACGCTTTTGTCCCAATACTACACCTAATGCCATCCCACTCGCATCACACATTACTTCGAATGGTTCTGACCAATTGGGGTTGATGATAATTGGTGTGGATATTAATTTCTCTTTCAAACATTGAAATGCTGCCATACAAGCATCATCAAAGTAGAATTTCACTTCCTTCTCTAAGAGTTTGCATAGCGGTTGTGCAATCTTTGAGAAATCCTTAATGAATCTCCGGTAGAAACATGCATGGCCCAAGAAACTGCGAATCCCCTTTACTGAGATCGGTGGTGGTAGTTTCTCAATAACCTCAATTTTTGCTTTGTCAACTTCCAACCCTTGTTGCGACACTTTATGCCCAAGAACAATGCCTTCCTTCACCATGAAATGGCATTTCTCCCAATTTAGGACTAGATTAGTTTCCACAGACCTTTGGAGCACTCGCTCTAAATGTGTCAAGCATTCTTCAAATGTGTCCCCCATGAGTGAGAATCATCCATGAAGACTTCTAGAGAATCCTCAACCATATCCGCAAAGATGGACAACATGCATCGTTGTAAAGTTGCTGGTGCATTACAAAGTCTGAATGGCATCCTTTTGAATGCAAAGGTCCCATAAGGGCATGTGAAAGTGGTTTTCTCTTGATCTTCTGGTGCGATAGATATCTGGTTGTATTCGGAGTATCCATCCAAAAAACAATACCACCCTCTATCTGATAACCTGTCAAGCATCTGGTCCATGAAGGGCATTGAAAAATGGTCCTTTTCAGTTATGAATTTAGCTTTCGATAATCCATGCACACCCTCCATCCCGTTACAGGTCTAGTCGGCACAAGATCTCCTTTAGCATTTGGGACCACTGTTATGCCACCCTTTTTTGGTACGCATTGCACTGTGCTGACCCATTTGCTGTCTGAAATCGGATACATTACTCCTGCATCAAGCCACTTGATGATCTCCTTTTTTACTACCTCTTGCATCGGGGGTTCAACCTTCGCTGATGCTCCACACTGGATTTGCATTCACTGTCCAGCCGAATCTTATCGGTGCAGATACCGAGCGGGATGCCCACGATATCAGCTATGGTCCATCTGATCGCTTTTATGTGCTTCTGTAGTACTTCAACAAGCACTTTTACCTGCCCTTCACTCAGATTTGCTGCAATAATCATTGGCAGAGTGTTGTTAGTTCCCAAGAAAACATACTTGAGATGGGATGGGAGTACTTTCAGTTCTAGAGTTGGCGGCTCTTCAATTGATGGCTTTGTAGGTGGGCTGCATCGTTTTTTTAGGTCGATATCCAACTTAATTGGATTTCGTGCATATGCTCCTAACCTTGTTAGGGCTGCGATCATTTCATCATATTCCTGAATTTTCGATTCGTCATAATTTGCAAGTATTGACTCAAGAGGCTCATTCTTGCGCAGCAAATGGCTCACACTTGCCACTGCCTCATCTATAACATCTTCAGTAGACACTACATGGATATCACTTGGTTGTTTCATGGATTTGCAGATGTTGAAATTTACCTCATCGTTATTCACACGGAATTTCAACTTGTCGCTTTCAACATCCACTAATGCTCTGCCGGTTGCAAAGAATGGGCTTCCCAAAATAATAGGGACCTCAACATCAATGTCACAGTCTAAAATCACAAAGTCAGCTGGAAATATGAACCGATCTACTTTGACCAAGAAATCGTAGAGGATCCCAACAGGATGCTTGATCGATCAATCTGCCATGAGAAGTCTCATTGTAGTTGCCTTTGGTTTTCCCAATCTAAGTTGCTTGTATATGGAGTATGGACTCAGGTTGATGCTTGCTCCTAGGTCACATAAAGCCTTGGCAAATTGGAGCATTCTAATAGTACACGGGATGGTGAAAGCACCAGGGTCTTCTCTTTTAGTGATTAACTCCTTTGTCATGATCTCACTGCAACTATGAGGCACTTCAATCATTTCATAATCCAAGATCCTCTTCTTGGTGACTAGCTCTTTCATGAATTTAGCATACCCTGGCATCCCCAGCAATGCTTCCACCTAAGGAATGTTGATGGACAACTTCTTGAACATAAACAAGAATTTTTTAAACTTCTCATCTTCATTTTTCTTTTTCAAACGCTGGGGAAAAGGTGGAGGTATTTTGAGTAAGGGTTGTATTATTTTTGGAGTTTCATTGTGCTGATTCATTCCTTCTTGTGCTTTCTTGCCGAGGTTTTGATGATTGTTAATTTCTACTTCTTCCCCACCCTGATTTTCCTCATATTCTTCTCCTTCATTACCTATCGCTACCTTCCCGCTACGGGTAATTACAACCAGCTCTTCTTTCTCATTTTCCTTTGGCATTTTGGTTGTTAGTTGGGCCGATAGGAGATTCAATTGACCTTCCAGCATCTTGATGGCATTAGCATGAGAGTTCACCTTACTATTTAGCAAAGAAAAATCATCTCTCATTCCCTTTAGCAAATCATCAGAGCCTTCAACTTTCTCAAGAATTTGTGTTAGTAGATCATTCACCCTAGGGCTGCTGTCACTCCCCCTTGATTCCACTTTTGGAAATATCGCCTAGGTCCTTCACCTCTAGGGTGGTTCCGACCTTGATTTCCAACCCGCAGTTGATAGTGCGGGTGGAAACCCTCCTCATTCCTTCTGTGGTTCCGACCTTAATTCCCTCCCGATTTCAAGTTATCAGAGAAAGAACCCCCCTCTGCGCGAAACACTTCACAGTTGCCTTTCATGTGCTCTTGTAAATCTTCCATCTGAGACAACATCTTTTTGATGTTTTCATCCCTCTCTTTTTCTTTATCGAGTTGCTCTTGCGTCAGCCATAAACACAGAAGGGAGACTTGATCTTCTTTGGTGTACCAAGCTTGATTTACTCTCACCATACCATCTAGGAGAAGTGAGGCCACCTCAAAGGGTTGTAGCATTATGCCGCCTTGAACCAATTGATCAGCTATCCCTTTGTTGACTGAATCAAGACTTCGCTAAAAATATTGGAGTAGCAACTCACTTGGCAGCCCATATGTTGGGCATTTTCGCAGAGACCTTTATATCTAATCCACGACTCATGAATTGGTTCACTCAGTTTTTGTTTGAAATTCTGAATGTCGTCCCTTAACTTCATCATTTTTTACGGGGGAAAGAATCTATTGTGGAAAGTTGTGACTAATTCTTTCCATGATGTGATAAAACTTTTGGGAAGCTCAGACAACCACGTAGTGGCTGCTCCTGTCAGTGACAATGGGAATAAGCGAAGCCTGATGGCTTCTTGTGACCAATTATTGAATGACAACGGAGCACATACGTCCAAAAAGCTTTGGATATGTTCATGTGAGTCTTCATGATCCAATATTCCGTATAGGCCCCTTGAATGTATGAGATGGAGTGTTGTGTTAGCGACTTCAAAATTTCCGTTTCCACCACCCTGCAGCGAGCGAATTGCACCTATCTCACCCAATGGAGCGGGGTCATAAACACTATTAACATCGTCAATGTCATCTCGGTGCAAGTCAATATTCAATGGGTTGTTTGCGTGGCAATTGTCCCCCACGTCCTCACTCATAATTTCTGTTTTCAACACAAACAAGAAAAGCAAAGCTAAAAATTAAGTTAGTAAAGCTAAAACTAAGAAAAACAGAAATTCTTGCCAATGATCCTTGGGATTACATACAATCAAAAACTCAAAGAAAAACAAAACTAAGAGTAAAATTAATAATCTACTATTAATAAGACGGAAATTATAGTGAACTAAAAATTCTCAATTAACACTACTCCCCGGCAGCGGCGCCATTTTGATGCCTTATCGTGACCAACGACACTATCCTACGGTATGAGTGTCTATGATCGTCGATATATAGCAACCCAACCAAGGGTTGGGGTCGTGTCCCAAGGGAGTCGGTTTTGAGAATTGATACGAAAAAATAGAATTTACATTGTAACTAGTCGTAGCTAAAGCATCTGCGATAAAAGACATTGTAAATTAAAGAGGGTGACACAAAAGTGTAAAATTTCAAGGGGGGGGGGGTTGTAACAAGTACTAAAACAGCAAAATAAACAAGAAAATCAAGTATGAGGAAAGGTTCTTGGGATGTGACTGCAATATAAGTTGAGATAAATTGTTGGGTTCATGCTTTCGATAGGAAATCTGAAAAATAATAGTGACTAGGCTAAGCTTTAAATGGAAATAAGTTCCCTCTCGGGCAACTTACCCCGTTTCAAATGCGTTCCTCTCGGACACCCATTTGCCGCATGAAGACCAACCTACGCCTTACCCCACTCACTCTCTCGAGCTGAGTGTTAGGATATGGGACTAGGGCTCACCCTCTCGGGCTGAACCTCATGTCGACCCACTCCTTAGGCCATCAGTCTAGTGGTTTTAGTTTCATGACCTCTCTCTCGGGCAAGTCGAAAACACATGGGTTGCTTTGTATTTGCAACTACAAACCCTTTAGATTAAACCACAACCACTAGGTGAAATCACCATTAAAATACATCTAACCTATCAGCAAGCAAGACCCAACAAGAATATCAACCCATATTTGATAAATCACACCCCAAGAATGGGGTGTTTTTAGCCACACATCAAGAAATAAGAAAGTATACCTTACATGATAATGAAATCAACTGGGTATAAGAATTTAAACCTTAAATTAAGCAAAGGAAAATGAATAGAGAAGACCCATTCCAACCTGGGGAAGAAGAACTCCTTTCTTCATTCTTCAAGTCTCCACAAAACCCTCTCCAAACTTGAGAGAAAAATATCAGCTAAAGTCTGTTCTAAAGTGAAAATAATAATAATAATTGTTCCATACTAAGACTACAATTCTAACTAGTATTTATAGTTTTCACAGATTGTGCTGCGGAGGATTGTTCGGCGACATTAGTCGAGATCGCCGATGAACTCGGTGATCCACCTTTTGGTTAGCTCATCGCCTTCAGTGTCTTGCCTTTAGCATCCTCGTATTCTGGATCATTGGGCGGTACAATACTGCTTTGCCAAACTGATCAGCGACTCGCCAACTGCTCCTTTCCTCGCCTTTTGATCCACTTCCTTCAAGGCTTCGCATACTGGAACGAAGGGCGGTTCATGTCGTTTTGGCGACTTGCCAAGTTGAACTCGGCGATCCGCATGATTCCATTTCTTGTTCTTTTTCAGCCCTATTTGCTCCGTTTTTGCGCCTAAGTGTCCATGCTTCCACTAAAACTTCAAATACCTGAAACTTCAGCATTTTAATCAAGTATTGAGATAAAACAAGCATTCAAGGACACTATTTCTATTAAAATAAAGCCCTAAATGAGTCCAATTTGTGGACTCATCAACTCTCCAAACTAATTGCTAGGATCACTAAAGGACTTTCTTAGCTTGTAACGTAGGCTCAGAGTCAGGTGTGGTATATTTGGGTACTTTTTAGTGACTTTCTGCCCTCTTTGACATTTAGGGCTGGGCATTCGGTCGGTTCGGTTCGGTTTGTAAATATCGGTTCGGTTTTTTGGTTTTTGGTTTGACCAAATGTGAAACCAAACCTAACTGAAACAAATTCAGTTTGGTTTGGTTATTATAATTTTGGTTCGGTATATTTCAGTTAGGTTTTTGGTTTAACCAAATTTAATTAACAGTGGCCTGTGGGTTGTGGTCCAAGACACTACTTCTCGAGTGCTGCTGTTTCCGAACAACCTGCCCCAATTCCGTGAATTGTGAATTACTACACTACACCAATATAATCATAAATGCAGCATTTCACAACATCAACACAAACAAACACAGTGGCCTAGACACCCCTAAAAAGGACAAAAAATCAATCTCATCCAC